GCGTATCGGGAGACGGAGACCAACAAGACCTCCCTCATCCTTGGCGCTATCTCTTAGAATTTTTAGAAACTGTCTGTCTGTCTGTCTGTCTGTCTGTCTGTCTGTCTGTCTGTCTGTCTGTCTGTCTGTCTGTCTGTCAAAGAAACACATTATGAAAATTAGGCAAAAAGTGCTAAAGGTGAGACCTATAAGTTTTTATATATCTAGAATTGTTGTACTTTTATTTATTTATTTAGAAATAAAACGTTGAGATAAATTAGTTTGCTGGTTTCCCAGGGAACCCTGAGGCATTAGAGTTATTTTTGTCTCCGTTTGAATGTTTCAAAAGTTTCAACTTGACAAAGGCTGGGAGTTCTTATGAAGCATTTTATGTTAGGAAGTACTGTCAAGCTTTACAGGATAAACTGTCATGCTTTTAAACACCTGGCTTAAATGAATTGAAGATGAGCAGGCATCCAGTGGAAATAACCTGCTGCAGAGTTGTATTGGATGCGTTGGAGAAACGTTATATCGAAAACATCAGTGATTTCCAACATCCGGGACTGAAAAATGCACATAAAGGTCTAATTAAATACATTTTTAACATTATTTTAAATTAAGTTTAAACTCCTTGATGGACAAATATATAGTTCTTATCAAATTTCCCTTCCCAAGATAATCCCTTCCATGATAATTTCCTTGGCATTAAACTCCAGACTTAATGTTATTTATTGCTGAGGGCCTTCAGGTGCTTTTCAGCTATTTTTCACTGTAAACCTTAAGTTCCTTTTATGTTGATTTTGAGTTGCTGGTTCTAAAGTAATCAGAAAATATTTTCAGAATACGATAACAGAAGTACTCAGACAGTGCAGACATGTTACATGTGATCATGTCCTCACCCTGTTATATTCTCACATCTTCTACATCATCTGTCTTTCTCCTTCATTTGCACGCACACACACGCACACACAGTGTGACACATACTATGGTGACTGGTGTTGCCAGCGAAGGGAAGCGGCGGTTTACAGTGGTATTAATTGGGTCTCTGGAGGGAGGAGCGTCAGGATGGCTGTCTGCACGAAAGCAAACATTATCATTATTTTTTCTGTTTAAAAAAGTCCTCCGTATGGTCAAGAGCCAGTGGGAAGGCTAACTAGGTTTCCATTAGTTTTGGAGGAGTGTTGTTTTCTTTGGAGACTTCATCGTGTTGTTTGGTTTTCAAAGAGAAATATATTCAAATCACCTCTTGTAATAATGCAATACGTGCATAAATAGTAGTGTCTGTGTAGTGTTGGCTGTAATAGATTCTGGTGTTTATAATTTATGCATCTTGGCATTTCACTAATGATTTTGTCATGTTTATGATAGAAATAAAAATGCAAAAAAAATAAAAGATAGAAGTCTTCCTTGGTGTTAACATGTATTAGCCCCATTTCTATAAACTGATTGTCCTTCCGTCAAATCTGAAAAAAAAAAAAAAAATGTAATTAAAATATCAGAAACCCCTATTGCTGCATCACATGACCAGTAAAAGCCTGATTGGTTTTACCAGTTAACATTAAGCGATCAACACTGACTACTTTTATGACAAACCCTTGATTTGTTTAATGCATGGATAGTTACTTTCCCTGTCGTTTACCCACTTGCAGCACAGAAAGCATAGAAATGTAATAAATTTAATAAATTCTGACTGTAATATGACTAAGAATATCCCCTCTCATATCTTCATGTTAGCTTTCGACCCAATCTGATCTAATTAACCTCTTAGGTAACATAATAAACTGTAATTTGATATAAATAAATAGGTTTATTTATTTATAAATAAATAAATAAGTCTAAGTTTAGGGTGGAAACTGCTTTTCCAATGCTAGCAATTTTATATGCATTATTTAATGTGAATCCAAAGTGCTCATATTCTTCCGGACTCAATCCTTGTCTCTCAACTTTTTTTTTTTTTTTTACCCACCTGTTGGACCAGTTTGCTTGATCATAACTGATCAGCTTTGATGCAGGGAAGAATTATGCAATTTACCCATATTGACTATATTACTAGATGTTGAGTGAAGCCATTTTCTCTCTTTTAAATGTAGATCAATTTCTATGAGTGCTTCCTGGATGTGCGGAGGTTGCGTAAGACACTGAAGGATGTTTTGTGTACATGCAGATTTTCAACGTCTAAGCTCTACGAGCTCAGCAGAATGCAGTATACAGAATGCATGAGACAAATGGCTTTCGGCTGGATACCTTTACATAAGACACTGTAAAGTAGAGCAAAGTAGACGAGTTCCAAAGAGCACAGATAGAGAGGGTATAAGGAGTACTGAAACAAAAATGAAAAACAAGATTAGATTTACAGGCGCCTTTTCAACAGAGCAGTCCAGTTGTGCTACCCATGCCAGGACATAAATTGTGAGAGCAATGTGGAACTGGGAGGCATAACTCACATTCCCTTCTTCTGTGCAGTGACTGGTGAAACAGTGTCTGATGGGAAGTGCTCTGCTCGTCCTGTTGCTCCTCACCTCTTTACTGTCACTCGTGTCCTCTCAGTTCTCTTTCTTCCCTCTGCCTTCTCAGCTGTGTTTTTCTGCCTGCCTCCTCTTCTTTATTCTTTTGACTCTGCATCACTCTTGGCTGTTCTGCTCTGCTGAGCTGATGCCATTCAGAGGGCAAATGCCACAGAGAGAGAGATGTTTTGTCACTCTGCTCCTTACTTCTCTTCCCCATGCTTGAACAGCCCTGCTCCTGATTTCAAGGACTACTGCTGGTCTCTCTCTCTTCACAGTCATGGATTTTACTCCCAGGGTTTATGGGCTTAAGTGAGATGTATAAATGGGGCAGCTGTATAGCCTCGATCTTACTTTGACTTTTCTTGTTTTGAAAGTCTTGAATTATTATTCTTTTGTGGTAACCTCTTTTCCTGTACTCTCCATATAGTTCTCCTATAATCTGTCCAGATTTCCAGTGTCTTTAACCTCTGCTGTTGCTCCTCTTTACATGTCCATCCACAGCTTGCTTTATTTTTTTTGGGTTCTCATCTTTTAAACTCACAATAGGCTGGTGGGAAGATGTATTTGCCCACTTAACTGTTCCAGTTTTATTTGCGTGCTGTTAAATACAAAATATCACCAAATAAGCATTATATTTGTTGAGGGAAAAGTGGTATCCAGATCAATCAGTGTGAAAAAGAAATTGTAATCGTTGTTAAATCCTGAATAAACTGTGAATAAACACATTTGTTTGGAAAGCTGGGCTCAATTTAAACAACTATATCTATGCATGAATACAGCATGACCTGTAGATTCATGAATTCACTTAAACAGGACCTATCTGATTACAGGGAGTGGACTGAATGATCTCACATAACATGAGCTTCACTAAGTAAAACATAAAAGAAGGGGACTCAAGATCACAGAAAAATCTTTGTATAAAACTGAGTTTTAATGATTTTCTAATGGCAGCAAAAAAATAAAACACTAGTGAACCTTCTCAGGAATTGCCAGCCCACCAAATTAGAATTCATCCAAAACTTATCCAATAGGTCAGAATAGGACATTCACCAAAAAGTAGTCGACTCAATTAAGCTGAGTCGACTCAACAAGAAAGGTGCCTCCCCCATCCCGTGGTTATGGGCCTGCATGGCGGTGTGTGTGCGTGCGGCATGCAAAACCAGTCTCTTATTAGCTTATTCTATGAGTTTTGTAAAGAACCTGAACCTAAGATCATTGCTGCAGCAAGACGCGTCGCTTAGTGAGTAATTTTCTGCTGCACTCCCAAATGGTT